CCCCATTTATTCCCCTAGAAATCCCATTTTTTTCTAAAACCCCCATTTTTTCACCAAAAATCCCATTTTTTCCCTAAAAACCCCGATTTTTTCTCCTAAAAATCCCATTTTTTTTCTAAAAATCCCATTTTTTTCCTAAAAACCCCATTTTTTAACCTAAAAAATTCAATTTTTTTCCTAAAATCCCTTTTTTCCCGTTCCCCCATTTTTACCTCTAAAAATCTCACTTTCCCACTGACTTTTCCTTCTAAAAATCCCATTTTTCCTCCTAAAATCCTCATTTTTTTTACTAAAAATCCCATTTTTTCACCTAAAACCCCCATTTTTCCTCCTAAAAACCCCATTTCTTCACCTAAAAATCCCATTTTTCCTCTTAAAACCCTCATTTTTCCTCCTAAAACCCTCATTTTTTCACCTAAAACCCCCATTTTTCCTCCTAAAATCTCATTTTTCCACCTAAAAACCCCATTTTTTTTCCTAAAAACCCCCAATTTTGTGTGTGCTGACCTCCCCGGTGAGCAGGTTGATGATCTCGAAGGCGTTTCACGATCCTGACCTCATCAGCTTCTCCCTCCCAAAACCCCATTTTTCCTCCTAAAACCCCCATTTTTCCTCCTAAAAACCCCATTTTTTTTCCTAAAAACCCCCAATTTTCCGTGTGCTGACCTCCCCGGTGAGCAGGTGGATGATCTCGAAGGCGTGTTTGACGATCCTGACCGTCATCAGTTTCTTGCCGTTGTTCCTGCCGTGCATCATCATGGAGTTGGTGAGGCGCTCCACGATGGGGCACTGCGCCTTGCGGAAACGCTTGGCCGCGTATCGGCCCGCGGAATGGGGCAGGTACTTGGCGTATTTCTCCTTCACTGCGATGTAATCCTGCAGTTTTGGGGGGGTTGGGATCAGATTTGGGGTCCTGAGCATCGAAATTCCCGAAAAAATCCCAAATTTCCAGCCCAAAATTCGATTAAAATACGAATATTTTACACCAATTCACACCCCCTGATGTTTCGTTTATTTTCTTTTTATAATGACGTCATTTGTTCTTCACTGTGATGTAATCCTGGAATTCTGGGGGGTTTGGGATCAGATTTGGGGTCCTGAGCATCGAAATTCCCAAAAAAATCCCGAATTTCCAGCCCAAAATATCATTAAATTACGAATATTTTGCACCGCGTAACAACCGGTGGCGTCTCATTTATTTCTTTTTTACAGTGACGTCATTTGTTCTTCACTGCGATGTAATCCTGGAATTCTGGGGGGGTTGGGATCAGATTTGGGGTCCTGAGCATCGAAATTCCCAAAAAAATCCCGAAATTCCAGCCCAAAATCTCATTAAATTACGAATATTTTGCACCGATTAATGACTGGCGACGTTTCGTTTTATTTTCTTTTTATAATGACGTCATTTGTCTTTCACTGTGATGTAATCCTGGAATTTTGGGGGGTTTGGGATCAGATTTGGGGTCCTGAGCATCGAAATTCCCGAAAAAATCCCGAAATTCCAGCCCAAAATCTCATTAAAATCTGAAATTTTTTGCCCCATTTAACGACCGGCGACGTTTCATTTATTTCCTTTTTTTCAGTGACGTCATTTCTCCTTCACTGTGACGTAATCCTGGAATTTTGGGGAATTTCAGGGATTTCAGGATAGGATTTGGGGTCTTGACTCAAAAAAATCCCGAAAATTCCAGCCCAAAATCTCATTAAAATTTGAATTTTTTGCCCCAATTAAGGACCAAAGGTATTTTGT